AGGTTGCAATTGAATCTTTTCACTCTGGTTAACTGTCTTGAAATGCACATATAGCTAACTTCAAAAAAGATCTAAAATGTGATTTCTTTCTGTTTTGTCCAAAATTTTTCTAAAACCATTTTAAAACCAAAAATTCAATTCTCTTCTGGAATCTGGTCTTTTAGTAAAAAAAGTCTGTCAGTAAGTTCGAGAGCAGATTATGTTCAAATCGAAGTGTTGTTAATTCATACACGAAAGATTTGAATGATTTAAAAATAAGTTTATAGTATCATATTTCAGTTATTTATTTCTTAATGACATTTTATTTGAACCGCATTCGTATAAAGATAAATCGGGAGGGTACTGAATTCATCACTTCAAATTTCATGTACATGAGAACCTTAGGTAACGAGACTTATTTTACATGTGTCTTTCAATTCGTTAAAAATATTTTTTTTTCCATAAGTAAAATTGAATTTTTGTTATAATAAATCAAAGTATGGCATCTTTTTTGCTGTACCAAAATTGTAAGTCATAGAAAAAAAGATGTGTTTCAAAATCACACGTATACAAGACCACAAATGTACATTTAATACATAATGAATATCTAATATCAATTGTTAGAAAAACAAGGGGGTAGGGAAGTGATTTAGGAATGTTTTAATTTCACACAAGATTTGATTGATTTGTATTCTCTGAAACTAACACTTGAAGATTTTCAGTAGACCATTCGGGGTTTCAATCTTACCAACCAGTTTCAATAAATTTTTATCATTTTTATATTGTTGATTAACGATAAAAATTCTTCAAAAAGGGTAAGACAATAAAGGTAGATGATCCCTGTGCTCTACTAAAGACAATGAAATTTCAAAGTTATGAAATAAAAAGAGAGATAATTCCTTTGCTCAAAACAACATTTAAAGAGTCCGTGGCAAAGAGTGAAGAAAGTCTTCTTTTTCATGTTTCAGGAATAGCAATCCCACAAACTATGGGCGCGTCGGTCAACAACAAAACCCAAGCGTTCGAAAACGACAGCGACGACCTGACGAGCCTGGCGAGCGAGTCCGTAGCCCTACGCGAACGTTACCGTAGACTCATACCCTACATGACCTATTACCTCATGAACAACTACGTACACCAGCAGCCGACCCCAGCACCGCTTGCACCGTTCTACCAAAATGCCCACCAGCCGTACGTGCAGGTACCCAAGGAACAGGTGGACAGCTCGCCGACGCGAGCCCGACCAGCAACCGCAGCTCAGCAGTACGCCACCCTGAGACCGATCCACCTTGCCGGTGGCAACAGGTACCAGCCGCTGCACAAGTTGCAGGAGGGAAGGTTCGTGCCTTCGGTCCAGTACGACCCGAAGGACGTTGGGCTGGACACGGACTACTTCGTACCCGTGAGATACGTGCCCAAGGATTACGAGGATTATACGGCCGTCACTGTGCGCACCACCAGACCGATACCTGTGTACGTGAGGCTTTTTTTCTTCAAAATTTTTTATTGTATGCATTGGAGTAAAATTTACCATCAAGTGAGGCTGCAACAAAAGCTTTAATCTTCCAACTGAATGGTATATGAAAGAAATCTACTTTCCCGACTTTAAGTTTCGAGGTCATGTACTTGTTTTTCATATATGGCCTCTTTTAGCTATTATTACAACGAAATGTTTTATTTTATTTAGAAACTCATTCAAAAGAGCGAACTTATTGCTACAAAAATGTACGAAAACAAGCAATATACCCATGATATTAAACAGGGGACAGATCACCATAGCTCCACAATAATAAGTATAACAGAGATAAATTGTTCCGAACAAAATAAAAAGCAATTACCATAAAGCTACGGCAAAAATTATAGCTAAGATTTGTTGCCCATAACTTTACCGTTGTTTTAGTGGTAAAAAATTAATGTTACTATTTTCCTCCGTACATATTTATGATGTTTGGTCAAATTAATTTATGAGTTACGAGTAGAGTATTCGCTCTTGTGCACTTTAGGGCAAAATTTAGAACTTCCGCACCAAATCCTATATAAAATACGTGTATTTACGGAACACTAACGCCAATAATATCAGTGTGGTAGTATTGGATAAATACACGCATTCTAAAAGAGATTTGGTTTAGAAGTTCCAGTTATCGCCGCAATGTGAATAGATCGAAGACCTACTACGTCCCGAAAAATTTTCAATAATAAATAAATGCCAATGAAAAAATTGAAAGATTTAAAAAAACGCAGCCCGAGCAGTCCACCGGACGGGCGGTACCCACCGACGACGTTGCGGCCAATCATCGGCTACGTGAAACCGGTGGCCAAGCCGCAAGCCGCCCAAGATTTCGCGTCCAATGCCGACTTCGAGTCCGTGCGTTTTATCAAGACACAGCGCACGCAGCTCCAACCGCACCTGCAGCAGGTGCCCCCGAGGTACACGGCCGCGAGACCGACGAGGGTCAGCCTAGGCCACATTGTCAAAAGCCTGCAGCTGACGAGCCGGCTACCCGAGGTCCTCAACAACGACAACATCGACAGCAGCATCAGAACCCTCGAGGAGATACTTCGGATACTCAACGTGGGCAAGAAGGAGACCTACCGCCCGCCAGGTTGGTGGTTTTTTTTTTTTTTTTTTAGGTCCGTCAGCAAGTGACCAATTTGAGGGGCACGTGATGAAACGCATACACGCGTGCGATGCAGATGCTGATATTTTTTTTTTTTTTTTTTTCGGATGTGCAGTGCGGGGTTCTTTAACTAGTCGATGCAAAACTGAGGTAAATGATAATCAAAATACACGAAAATAAATCTACATGTAAACGCCTGAAAGGAAAAAAAAATCCACTGAGTTGTCGGTTTTGTATCTACTCAATCTAAAGGCACTCATTTTTCTTTGACTTAAAAATAGTTTAATTGTTCCATTCATTTTGAAACAAGTAACTTTAAGTACGATGGTTTGGTAGAGAAAAAAAAAAAAAAAAGTAATGACGCGGACTTGAACTCTATTAACGTGAAGATAATCATATACACTTGGATGTCGCACAGTCACGGGAAAAAACAAAATAAATTTGTCTCTCGAGGGAACTAGAGATCGATTAGTTTGATGGAAAAGAAAAATCCATTTCAGCGTACGAAAAATTGAAACCGGCGTACAGCAAGCCGAAGGTAATAACAGAAACAAACTACGAGGCAAGCCAGCTATCGGTAACGCCTCACAACGAGCTGATCGAAACGAAGCCCGCACTAGCCTACGTGGCCCAAGTCAAGGCGCAAATGCCGGTCATACCTCACGAGGCGGAGGACGAGCAGCAGCAGCAGCCAATCGAGCTGAAACCAGCCGGCCTCTACGTCGAAACCCAAATGCCGGCCGTCCCTCACGATCCGCAGCTAATCGGGATAAAATCGGCCGGGCAGTACGTCGACAGGCTCAAGGTCGATTCGGCGCAGGACGAGGAGGTCGTGGAGATCAAGCCGAAGAACCTTTACAAGAACCGGGCCAACACCCCGGCACCGATTGTCGAGAAAATCGTCGAGTATTACGTGCCCATCGTCCAGGACATAGACGAGGACAAACCACCGGTTGACCAGGGTAAGATAGATTTACTCTGAGATAATCGAAAAATCAGCAAAGTAATCATTTTTTACTTCTAATTTTAACAGCGAAAGGGCACCAACAGAGCACCGATGACAGGTACATTGGCGAGGACAACGAGGAGAAGCAACTCGAGGACGATAAGTACAGTTTGCCGATGACGACGGAGCCGATGCAAAAGCTGGCGGCTCATCTGCAAAACATCCAACCGCTGATCAAGTACGGGGTTACCAGGGGCAAGCCGCAAGTCGATTATCCGGCTTACACGGAGATACCCGAGACTCAGTTCAACTGCAAGCAGCAGCGATACAAGGGCTTCTTCGGCGATCCCGAAACTGGCTGTCAGGTGAGATTTGTTTTTTTTTTGAAAATAATTCTTCTTTTTTTTTTTTTTTTTTCAACGATTTCCCATGCTTTTATAGGTATGGCACTACTGCGATCTTAACGGCGGCAAATCGTCTTTCCTGTGTCCGAACGGGACGATATTCAGTCAAGTGTCGTTGACCTGCGACTGGTGGTTCAACGTCAAGTGCGAATCCACGACGCAGCTCTACGTACTGAACGAGCGCCTCTACAAGTATATATTGCCGATCATGCCGAAATTCCCCGAAGACTTCAGCGGTCCTGAAGTTGATAAGTATCTCGAGCTTAAATTCAAGGAGATGGAGGCCAAGATGAAGGAGAAGAAAAAGAAGAAGGAGCAGGAGGAGGAAAAGGATAAGAACACCATTAATACTTTGCAATCGATAGAAGATTCCAAGTGAGACGGGTGGACGCGTTGCTCGCTGTCTTTTTTTTTTTTTTTTTTTCCACAGGAGGTAGAAGTGATGAGACGAGTTCAATGTTTTTTGGCAGCTATACAATTTTACGGAGTTTCATTAATTGTTTCGAGGGCTTACGTTCAGAGGAATAGGAAATTGAGTTATTATTCGTAAGAGTTCTCATTTTGGCGTAACATAAATTAATCACTTCTGTTAATGTAAATTATTGCATCGTTGCCATTAAAATGTGCAAGGACGAAAATAAATCGAAAGGCAATTACGTGACAGTTAAAAAATTAACATTAATATATTTAAAGGGATGTACCTAAAATGCCTCTAGTCATGTTTCGTCCTTTAGTTATGTAAGTAATCAAATACCTTTATCCACAAAAATACTTTTTTTGTACACTGTTTACCAGCAAAACAAATTAGTATCGATTGAGCGCTAATTCTTATACCTATCACTAATTTTCATACGATGGGATATAAGATTAAAACAATCACCATTGTTTGAACGGCAATTGTATAGAGGCATGTGGTACTCTTTACAAATTTGATTAAATATTTGTGCTACGTATTTTATAATATTATAAATATTGTTGAATAAAAGATAAATGTATTTATTCATTAAATGCATGAGTTGTTGATTTATTGTCAATTGCTAATGAACCACTAACCTTTAATGTCTTCAATGTGTAGAATTTCGTCTCCTTTAGTTTTTTACAGGCATCCAAAAAGTCTGGCAACAAATCCTGGTTCTATACAGCCAAAACAAATTTTCATATTTTGATAAGTCTTATAAAAAATATTTACTTTATTTCAAATAATATAATCCAGTATTGTGTTTGAATCATAAAATTAAGCACTACATACCCTGTCATCGTGAGATTTGGTATTGTGTCCTTGATGTTCCTTAATGACACAATGAGAACAACATTCCATATCACAATCCTCGCAATAATATTCACAAGCTTCATCCTCGTGGTTAGGGCAAGAATTTGAAAGTGATAAGTCAATAGAATTTTTATTTAATAGAATGGTTTCGTGATTCTGTAAGGCTCGTCCATGTATCTGATTGGATTAAAAAAAGCAAAAATAAGCATTTAAGCAAATGAAAATAGTGAATTTACTATTTTTACAACTATTTCTTTTTTTAAATATCTTCAAAACAAGATACGTAAGGAAAAAGTTCTCCACTACAACTAGTACTTGGTCAAGAACCACAAAAAAATTATAAACCGATGTAATTTTTTCTATTCAACATAAATAATATTTATAAGAAAGTAGAAAATTTTATTTTATACACAAATAAGGATAGCAAACCTTTTTAAAGCAGGGCACGCAGAAAAAAGCCTTACAATCACGGCAGCTATAATAAGCAATTAGTCCACATTCGTAACAAATGCCTGAAAGGAAAGGAGCCAAAACGTTGTAATAATCATTAGTAGATGGTCAAGTGTAAAAAAGTAAAATAAGGAGAAAGAATGACCTTGATCATATACTTGGTTTGTCAAGCCTTTTTTTGGTATTTGAAACGATATATCTGGATCATCGATATGCACCGGAGCAGACTTAAGCACATGAATAAGCCCAACGACATAAGCATTGTGGAGCAATCTTTCTCTTTTTGTAGGATTGGTGTACTCATCAGGGCACAGTGGACAAGGTCTTTTGGGGTATGAAATTTCACAATTTGAACATGTGGCATGGCCACAAGGTAACAAAAGAGGACTGTTTGAACCTTTCAAATCTGAAATTACAAAAGAAAAACAAGCAAATGCTTATGGTACAAATTTCTCAAACTTTTTTTATTTAGATGTGGCCATCATACATCTATATTGATGACAACAATCTCATTTTTACACACTTGTCAAAATGACAAATCAAAGAGATTCAAGAATGATATTAGCCTCTTTTACTTCCAATCCTCACACCCTCTTGGACAAAAATTCATCAAAATTTTCATACTTCCTAAAACCTGTCTCATTAATTCCTAAGTATACCTATAAAATCAAGATAAAAAAAAAGTGTTCTCAGCTAACGTGCAATTATTTGGCAAGCGTGTCAGCTAGGGAAAGCCTTTGCAGGCAGGCACATGCACGCACGCAAGCATGCCAGGATGCCACGGGCGCAGGCGCTCGAGTTTTCCGAAAAGAGCAAGAGAGACGGAGCGAAAACAACACAACCGTCGACGTCGTTGGCATATACCTTCGAGTCTCTTCAAGCAGGTACTCATTTGTTTTCAAAAATGTGAAAATCTCGACTGACATCGCGGCCCACCTGCCTCTATCACTGGCCAAGTGTCTTTGTCCTTCAAACGTGGCACTTTTGTCTTTGAAAACTCTTGATTTAACGATCAAAATTGATATACACGAAAGCTACTTCTCCCCCCCCCTCCCCCCTTACCCTACGAAAAGTTACCGGCGACAGATCAGCCACACGTGACATGCACATACATCCTCCTGGAGGATTGTGAAATTCTTGAAAAAACGCGTGTTATAAAATAAGAAAGAGCTAAAAAATAGACAAACCGGGCAAGAGGTTAGGATGGTCTTCCCCGTAACAACGTAAAATTAAAAAGCCCCGGCAGCGTACGCACCTTTGCCAATGTAAAAGTGATGCTTGCAAAACAAACAAGCAATATCCTTAGTCCTGACCCTGGGAAACGAGCCGTGATACTCAGGCTGGGAGTATTGCTGCTGCTGTCCAGCCGGCTGATAGAAATTATTGTAATTCCTTTGGTAAAGCTGATTGTTGTACTGGCGTTGTTGCTGCTGCTGCCAGGGTTGTTGGAACGGATAGTGCCTAGTCAGCTGCATCATCGAGGCAAATTGCTGCTCGTCCTTGCGATTCGTCTTCTTCGAGGACGATGCACTGCCGTGCTTGTCTCTTCTGTTGTCCATGTCGCGTTTGTCACCTAACCACGAGAGCTTCGCGAACACCACCGTAGTGTACCTGTGCAACTGGCACTCGCGGCTTTAGATTTTTTACGAACACTTTTAACTGATATCTTTGATCAAATTACCGGAATCTTAATCGAACTACCTCAACTACCTGTTTATGTACTCGGTATATATGTATATAAATACATGTACATATATATATATATGTGCACACTGCTGCCTTACAGCGAACTGTTATAGCGTGAGGAGTTGAAATAAAACACGCGCGGCGCAACCGCATTGTACGTGTGTGTGTGAGAGAGAGAGAGAAACGTTACTATAGATTTGTTCGATTAAGAGGTTCCGAGCGCTCGGAGCGCTCGGAGTGCTCCGAACTCTAGCCCGAACACGCGTTCTTGCTCCGAGCGCTCCGAGCGCTCCAAGTGCACGTGACTCAGGCCGCCTGTGGATAGCCGTGTAAGATCATTTACGAATTTGCAATAGACTTTGATAAAATTGCGTTGTGGCGAATGTGGATATGATATTGAGGATGATCGAATTTTGAAACATCATTGTCTCTCTCAATATCGGGAAGTTGAACTGATGGGCTTTTACGTATACCCCCCTCCTGCTAGAGGTAGGTACAACATATCAGTACTCTTTATAGAATAAAATTTTCTAGAATCAAATGCTGATCTACCAATATTTTAGGATGTAAAAAAAATAATGCTTCTTATATATCTACTGATTCCGAGACTTGGATCAGAGTTGAAGACTGAATGAACATATGAATTTTATATTTTGTAACATTAATATAATACTAACATTTTCCGGTGTCATGATAAACAATAAAAAAACCTTCCAACTATGCAATAAAAACAAAAAAACGGTTTGTTTACTCGCGATTACGTTGAGCTGGATCTTACACGGCTATCCACAGGCGGCCTGAGTCACGTGCACTTGGAGCGCTTGGAGCAAGAACGCGTGTTCGGGCTATAGAGTTCGGAGCACTCCGAGCGCTCCGAGCGCTCGAAACCTCTTAATCGAACAAATCTTATGTATAACACATCGGTTTAGTCCAGTAAAATGAGGTTTCGAATGAATGACGGTTTCTTTTTCGATGTTCAGACAAAAAGTCAAAGTACTATATGGTTTTGCGAAAATGATGTGCAGGCGACAGCAGAGTGCAGGCGAACAGGTATGTTGTCAAAAAATTTGACTTTTTTTTACCAATAACCGTTATGCATGGTGCTATATTTGATACTTGAGATGTATGAACAAACTGGCGTTTATAAAAGTCATTCGCAAGAAAAACAATATAAATATATATACCTACCTGTACCTACAATATTGTTGCCCAAGTAACCTCTGAATGAAAATTCAGATGGAAAAACGTTTTTTTACGAAATCGCAAAAGCTCTTATTACTTACTACTTACCTACTACTTACGATGCTAGAGTGTAATTGCGTTTGTTATTTAGTACGTGAGGTAAAGTAATTATTATTGTAAAATTATTGTTCCTCAACCTATCGACAACACCAGCTAGTTACAGATTATGGGTTTGTTCAAAAATATACTTACTGCAACATTGATTTCGGTAGGCTATAAATAATTATTTTAATTTTATTGACATCATTTTAATTGAAATAACGCTTTGTTTGAGTTGGTTGCATAGTTATTTCGCAGCATACATAAGTATTGCTTGTTGTTACTCCTATAACAGAGCCAGAACAGATTTGTTTACATATTTCAGTAACAAAATCTCGCCACACATACATTTTCAAATTAGGTTACGATATTCGTGTATCGAAAATGAGTGAGGAAAATAGTAGTTTTCCTACGAGTTTGAAAAGTCTCTGTTTGCGAACCGAGAGGTTTGCGGCCCGAGCCGAAGGCGAGGTCCGAAATGAGGTTCATAAAGGAGACTTTTCGAACGAGTTCCGGAAAACTGCTTTTTCGCCCGAGGAAGTACCAGCCTCCCAAAACCACCCGAGTGCGGAAAAAACTATACTAACCCGCCCCCCGACGCTAAGCGCTCTGTGATTAGCCGAAAGTATTAATGTTAATTTGTCAATACCTCGGAGAATGCGCATCAAATCAAAATTTCGTAAAGAGCTTTTCTATGAGTCTTGACGAGCTTTATCGCGTGGTATAGTTTTCCTCACTCATTTTCGATTGTATTTTTTTTTTTTGTATTAGGTTCTGTCCTCAGTGAGGTATGAACACTATGATTTATTTAAAGAAAAATTTTTACAATACACACTGGATAAATTATTTTACATAATAAACGTAGAAAAATATACTAAGTATACTTTCGCAATCATTAACTTACAGAGCAGTGGCGTAGCTGTGGTCGGCGTGGCCCCCCCGCAAAAATGTTAACGGGGGCCCCCCTTAAATAACCCAATAACCCATCAATCTGAAATTTTAATATCTTAATAAAAATCAATAATGTAAAATTTTTAAACTCCTCAATTCCAATAGCTAAGGAAAAATAAACTTCAGCTCTGTTATATAGTTAAACAGAAAATTGTAGAATTTATTCATAAGGCTAATAAATGAATTTTAATTCAGGTTAAAAAATTGAAATGAAAATTATTTCATTAGGTTATATTATAAAAAAATTACATGTAATGTTCCAGTTTATGAACGAAATCTTTCTGAGCGCTTGGCATTTTTATTTGTGAAGTCTTCTATTATCGTATCGATATTTAATTTTTTAGCTCTCTCGCATTCTTTTGACAACATAGCCAAACCTGTTAATCTTGCTTGTGACATCGTGCTTCTCAAATAGTTTTTTATTATTTTTAGCTTCGAGAAAGACCGCTCTGCTGATGCTACAGTAACAGGTAATGTCAAGTATAACTTTATCGCTATTATTACATCGGGGATGTTACTTACAAACGACGAATGATTTTTGATCAAATATTTACAAAGATCGCCGATTGACATATTATTTGACAGATGTTTCTTTATTAAATTTCTAAGTGACAAAAGCTGATGAGTTAAATCAATAGACAGTTCTTCGGAATAAAAACTTATTAAATCTTCTGATGCTTTCGATGATTCTTCATCCTCCATTCTTTGCAAATTTACTGGAAAAAGGCAGCGAAATTGTTGGCTTACTTCTCTTACTCCTTCGAATCGAGTGCTTAATTGTCCAATGATAATATCCAGGTGGGCGTTAAAAATATGAACTTTAAAAGACTGCTTTGCATCTAGAATTGTTTGATGAGCTGACTCATCGAAAAAAGTTTTCGTTCGTTTTCGCCTTTTTTCTTGAAAATTAACATCTATTCCCCAACTCTCAGCTAAAATAGACGATTCTTTAACTATGCTTTCAAAATTATTTCGCAAGATTTTAAAATTTTCAAGTGATGTTTGCAATAGCTCTGTGGCATATTTAAACACTTCATGTATCTCTACATCTATTTCTACGCAAATATATGCGATTACGTTGAATACATCAGAATCCTTCACAAAGAGAGAAAGACTAGTACAATTATAAACGTTGCTTACATTATTTTAAAAAGGAAAAATTTAATCGCCGTAATCTTCGAACCAGGCGTCAATAAGTATCAATTTATAATGATTTTTTTTACGAGTATAATTTTTTAAGGTTATTGGGCGATGTGGTCAATTGATTTTTTTTTATATTATAAGTCATAATGCGTTGATTCACTGTAAGTAAAGTTAAGGGGTTATTGGGGGAAAGCGGTTGATATTGGATTATTGGGATAGTAGATTTTTTTAAATGATTACAGTAGTGAGCACTGGCGGGGGCCCCCCGATGCGTGGGGTCTGCGGACCCTCAGCTACGCCACTGTTACAGAGTATTTCTTGTACGAAATTTAACAGCTATAACCTATTTTATTTACATTTGTACAGTAATAATAAAACTTGAGAACATAGTAGTTTAGATTTTAATTAACGATATGTATCAAGCTAACTTTCTTTTAACAATGTTTTCAGTTTATACAAGTGAATACGGCTTTTTTTTACGGAAACTCTGTCGCTTCTCGTCATTTTTTCAGCAGCAAGGTAAGTGTTACATGCATAACACATATTCAACATTTATTTTCCACATGTATTTAATACTTAGATTTTAAAGGTACGTTTATTTATAAATTTCTTTACTATATATTTTACCTGTGTAATAATACTGTAATATAATTTGTGTCAAGTATTTAGAATATTACTCAACTCAAATACTTTAACTAAAATCTACTACATATTTTGTATCTAATAGGATAAAAATAAATACATAAAAAAAGACAAGAAAAACCACTAAAGTAACGACTGTCATCAAGTGTGTGTTAAATGCTTTAAAAATTGGAAATCGCATTAGCTTTAGCATTTAAGCAATAGATTTGTAAACTAAGTTCTTTATTGTGGTTTAGTTAAAAAATGACAACACGGTCGCATGTTGACTGTTATTGACATTTATGAGGAATCCTAATTCTGTACAATGTATTTATCGAAATTTTAACCATAGTATTTTATCAACGAAATAATTTTTTTTTTTTTATGTTTGTAACGATTGAACTTTTTAACATACAAATATGGGTTTTTAATGAAAATCACTTGTACTGACAAGACTTGAAGAATCTCGTATTCAGATATACTCACGAAACTCAGTTATTAAATGGACACACGAGGAATTAATCATTAAACTCGTCTCGTAGCCTCGACTTACCATTAATTTATAAAAACTGTTACCTTGTGTCCTTTAGTAGACAACCATTCAATGAATCAACTTGTGCAAAAATCTCTTTTTAGCTCGGATTTTTTAATATAAAATTATCCCAAGAACCCGTACACGACACAATTATCCAGAATACCTGCCCACCAGAGCCATCGTTGATAAAATAATCATTATCATCACGATTTAATGCAGCTGTGCTCACAAGGGGCAGGATGAAAAGAAAATCCACTTCCACGGCAGCGAGAAATGATAAAAATGGACGGGGGGGTTGGCAGGGGTGAAGGAGAAAAAAAAGCTCAGGACACGTATGAAAAACCAGTACGAGCTTTTCCCGGGAAAAAAGGGGGAGGGGGCAAAAACAAGAAAACGAAGAACTTACCTAACGAGTGCACGTGCGTCAAATGAAT